AAAACGTCCCTGCAACTGCAACAGTTACCTTTAAAAGGAATGTTCAGCACACAATACATTTCAAATTAGTTTTAGTTCAACAAATCAAATAAGCGGACTTGAGTTAATCAGCGAAACACAATCATTTCTTTTCCTAGAACATTTAAGTCAAAGTCCAAAACTGAACCATAGATTGTGGCTTTCGATCCCATTTGGATCAACTGAGTTGGAAATAAAGTTTCACTTCACTTGGCAATTATTGACCTGAGTCATCAGAACTGTTGCCAAAAGCTTGCCAAACAAGCTTGTTTCATGAAAGGTCAAAGTAAATACTGTCAAAAGGCCCATTTCTGCTAACAAACACTTTTCATCAAGTTACAACAAATGGGTCAATAAGTGTGTGATATGGATCGATTATTTCAGTTCCCTGCTAAGGCAAACTTTTATTTTAAATTTCACATCTTGGGCTTCAACTGCTAGAACATTCTACTGGATAATAAGCGATAAAGTGGAGTATAAATGTGATTCTTGCAGCATATTGTGATGGAGAACATCAATAGAAACCGAGCCTTGGAGTTGCGTTGCGGCTGCCAGTCGGGAGGAGCATCAACCTAAGGATCTGATTATCATCTGCCTGTCCTTGCTGCAAGGCTCTTGAACAAACAAAAGACCCTTTCTTTCACTCAAAACTAACCAGTGATTGATCATTGTAATCGTGTCACCTCACTTTGATTGATGGACCCTGGCCTCGCTCTGCCCCCTCTAGGTGCCACTGAGGGATATTTTTCTCATAAAAAGTGATGTATCCCACTGCATGTGAATTTCCAAATGAATCGGAATTGTCAGTCGCTGTGTGACGGAGGTAAGGTCGGGGGCACATCTCTGGAGCGTTGTCACTACCTAAGGTGTTTTCTTTAAGGAAGAGGCACTTCATTGTAGTTACAGAAATGAAACTGTGAGGTCTCACCAAAGACATACTGTATGTTTGTGTCTGAGACAATAAAAACATGTGCATTTGTACATCAGACTGTGATTGCAACCTCAATTCTTATCATAGAAAAAAACATTTTGGGGGGGTTGACACAACTAACCAGTCATACTCACTGCCATACAAATGGTCGATAAGCCAATTAGTGTAACACTGTATGTTTCTGGACCGTGGGAGGTCACTGGAGTATCCAGAGAAAACCCATGTCCACGCAAGGAATGCTAATGATAACAAATCTGCTGGATATTATATTGTAAAACTATGAAACACACATTTAGCTACACTAGCATATCAGAGGTGATAGGTCACATCAGATTGGTTTCCCTGGCTCAACACGTGACCAGTAGGGGGCCGTCTGTAGTCTAAGGTTGGCTCTAACATGGCTCTAACACTACATGTCCGATGTGAGTACCTGTATTTCACTGCTATACGTGGATCAAATGAGCAGTTATAATGAGTGGGCAGCTGTTGCTGCCACATTACAGGTCATTAAGGACAAATGGGAGCCATAACAGTCAGATGTTCACACTTTGACATCAGACCCACCAGGCTCTTCAGTCTGACTGATTCCCAAACATGGCCAAGTCAATAAAACAAAACCTCATTTGGAGATGTTTTGTGTAGTGATAACCAGTTTCAGAAGTATGTTTAATTGTATAGTTATTAATGCCAAGTGTTAATAATGCTGTGCAGAAGGTCGATGTGAAGGTGTTCATGTAAAATAAACAAAAAAAAAACAAAAAAAAAACTGCCCACCTTTTATTTGGCTGTAACCTCCGGTCTCCTCTCTTCCATGTTATTCTTGGCTTTGGAGAAGCTCTCGGTTTACATTCCAGTGAAACATCTTTTCCAAGTGTGGCAATCACTCGTACAGGATTGGGGACAAAAACAGGAGCGGAGGCTGTGCAGGAAACAACATAAAGCATTAGCATTAAATTTAAAATGTAACGTGTTACTGTCAATGACATGACAGTTTGTCACCGTGGCAACAAATATCCTCTAATTAGTATGACCTCTCAGGACATGTGAGTTATAATTAATTAAAGTACATGTCACCTTTTTCACCAGATGCAAACAACTGTCTTACTGTAAGACCCCTAAAAACCCTGCAGGGGTGCTATGCTCTTCAGAGTAATATAGTTATGAACAAGACATTTATAAAATTTAAAACAATATTTTCATCTTCTGCCATCATTTATAAAATTTAAAACAATATTTTCACCTTCTGCCATATTGAATTGGGATTTAATTAATGCAAACAACACATCACACCTCACTTCCTCTATTGTAAGTTTCAGTGGCGGCAAATTATATTATTTCTTTTAAGAGATCATCAACAGAAAATCACGTTTTCTTCTCGTTTTCTACAAAGCACCAGGGTCCATATTTATCCTAATCCATAAACTACACCTCCCTTCAGAGAGAATTCCCTTCAATAAACTGTATAATGTGCATTGTGTATTAGAGGCTGATCAGGAAACAGTTGTTATGATAATGATGACATGGCTGGATGATTTCTGTTGCTTTTAGGGAAAATTGTTTAATCCCATATTTAACCACGCCGCCCGAGTGAATAATAATTAATACACAATAGGATTTTAGTTTAATTAATTCCTTGCCGACAAACTAATTTAACATTTATGATGTAAATAAGGCCT